TTCAGAGGTAAAATTAGCGAGAAATTGGCCGCCAAAGTTTGGTGAGTTCCATAACACAGGAGTCCTAACATTTGTTGAGCCTTTAATTTTTAATCAATGTTTTTCCATAAAATCCACAAACAAAAGTTTTTGAATGGACATACAAGGTGTTGATCCCCCCAAAAAAAATTCGAAAAAAATTTCCAAACTGGCCGTAAAATGCCGATATCTCGTAATTCATTATTTTGACCAGCGCCTGATTTCACCACGACGCCTCACATTATATCTTAGACCACTCAACACTCGAGAAAGGCGATAACATTGTCACACACGACGGTCGTTTTCCCTCTACCCCACCCCACGTCTCTCACAAATATTTTAGACTCTTCACTCCTTTGTTTTTCACAAACAACTTTACCTAAAAAGAACCCCCCCCCCCCTACCCTGCCCCAAATCTTCCCTTGTCAAACGGACACAGCTCAGCCGTAGATGATGAAACCAAGCCAACTTTCTTCTTCAAGCTTTTTGATGGGACAGCTCTAAAAACAGAAGTCGCATCAAACAAATTCTCACATTCCACTCTAAGTCTAGGGGTAACCATGTGCACAAATATATAATAGACATCTCTATACCCTCTCGAACATTAACTTACATGACTCTTGAGACCTGTCACTAGATTCACAACAGGTCCCTTTTAAAGCACAAGGGGGCTATCCCGACAAATGCTGTTTTGAGAAAATCGAAGGTAAAGTTTTTGCCTATTGTTCAGTTTCTTTAAAAGACAAGGGGAGTTTTCTCTATAACCAAACAAAACACACCAATGAAACCAAACTTCTCCTATAGGTAGAACAATGCCCACTTTTGGTGTAGGTCAAGATTTCTGGAAACCCCCGATATCTGGGTTAGTCCGTTTGTCCTTAAAAGCCACCAATTCATGTTAGGATAAACCTGGACACTTGTCTATACGCATGTACTAGATCTACTAACCTGGGAACCTGAAGCTTACTAAGAAACTGTATGGGCCAACACAGGCAGGTCTGCTTTGTGGAAACACGAACAAATTCAATTCTCTACTTTCTTTATTGTAGTGACAACTTTCACTTTTCATTTAGCTCTTTGAAGACGTACCATTATATTAAAATAATATTATTATTTTTATTTATTTAATTATTTTTTTCCCGGGGGAGGGGGGGGGGAGTGAGAGAAGGGGAGCTAGGTTATAAAGAGGCATAACTTTGTTTTTCATACAGATTTTTCAATTCTGTTGTCTTTATCAAAAATTGTAATAAAAAGAGGCTCTCTCTCTCTCTCTCTCTATATATATATATATATATTCACTCTATGAAATTTGCAAATTTGAACATTTTCATCTTGTTTCTTGAGTGATGCTTCGAAACAAGCATGAACGTTGCCTTTGGTCTTCAGCTGGTCGGACATGTGCCCACTACGTACGTCCTCAAAGAGTTCAAACAAACATTTCTCGTTCCGCCTGTAGCCTGTGTGAGTGAGTGCGGAGGGCCCTTGGCAGATTTCACGTCTTCAGAGTAGCATTTAGAAAGTCTAATCTCCCTTCCCACTTGCTGTCTAGTTTTATGTTTTAAATTAAATCTGCCTCCAAAAATGGGAAACGGTATCATCTCAAGCAACATAATATATATATATAT